CAATAGTGCAGCAAGATGAAACCACTTTGCCCTTTTTTTCCCCATGAGCTGCAGATGACTGACAGCACAGACCAAAGCACACTCTTAAGTTTACCTCAATTGGTCAGACGCCTGAGCAACAAACTCAGCTTTGACAGCAAAAGGCAGACGAGTGGCCTTAGCAACACCCACGAGAGTCACAGGGGTACATTTGTTCAAACACTTCGAGAAGAGACTGGTTATTTTTCTCCAAATTGTGAATGAAATAGTGTGGAATAGCCTACATTTATCCTCAGATGAGACACATTTCTTTTCAGGTAAGTATGTTGTGTACTACCACCAGTACAAAGAGTCTTAAAAAAAGCTTTGAATTTTTTTGCCAACAGTCAAAATAACTTCCATAAATCCAAATAAAACCTCAGTTATTTATAAGCACTAAAATATTCGCACGTTCAGATGAATTTTTCACGTTTATACAAACTACAAAGCTTTTGTTCCATAAAAAACAAATTGTTGTCAATACGATAAATACAGTCTGTGGCTGTGAGTGCGGGGCAGAAAGAGGCCACAGCAGAACTGTATATCCTGGACACTAATACTCTGTGTCTCCCACCATAGGGTTTTCTTAATTACATTAACCAAATGCCTTCTGCAGTGTGTGTAATCTCATGGTTAACTGAACACCCCTGCAGCCCCCTCCCCTTTCTATTCCTCAGTGAAATATTCATGTTGAAAGCCACTCTTCCAATCTACTTCTCTCCAACATGTTAATGCCTGTAGTTGTTCAGCCATGCAACTATTGTTTGAGATGAAACCTAACCTCTCAATAACCCCCAACATACAGGCTATACCTAAAAAAATGTCCACTAAAATGGGATGAAGCCAATAAAATGGTATATATTTTAATTCAAGTGAGTTAAGCACCATGGCTGAAGCTTAAACGTCTATAATTTTGTCAACAGAAATTATTATTTCTTCTTGTAGGTCAAGCAAGATGTGTCTCTGATATCAATTAAGTATCAATCAAGTATTTTATTTTAATAAATATATGATGATTTATGGATTTTCTTTAGTAAATTTCCAAGATGTGTCCCACTGGGAAAAAAAAAAACACATTTGTATTTCTTTATGTCTGCACAACACACTGATTCAAATTGACCAGGCAGGACTAATTTAAATACATTAACTATTCATTAATTGAATAAAAAGGCTAGTTAGCCCCAGGGCCCCTTTATAATCATAAACTGGGGTGTACTACTTATGCAAAACAGCAAAGTGCCATGTGCTGGCTTATTATGCCACTGATGAATGGCAAAGTACATGTTTCTCCTGCCCACAAAGGAGGATTAGGCATGGCAGTGTCAGCAAGTTGTTTCCAGGGCACAGAGTCTGCTAGTCCAGATTACAGCATGTTGAGATGCGTCTGAGTAATGTGATTCTTCTAGTCTCCTTCATGGAGATGTGATCGCACCATGAGAACTCTATGTCTTTTCTCAAAACATTATGTCGCAAGCATGAAGTTAACAAAACCGGGCCACCTTCACACTCTCACACTAACGCAACTCACTTTTCTCTGGGGAAGAAACACCAATTAACTAAATACTAGAGCTAGTGTTGCTGACTTGTGCTTGTCTAGGTTTAATACCAGGATGCACCGACCAAACTTTTTTCTCTCCCGATGCCTCAACTCAGGGTAACTGCGTGAAACTCAGGAGGCCAAATACTGTTGTACTACTAAAAACTGAGTGGCTCAGTCGCAGAAAAAAATAGTGATAGCGGAATCACTGAATTTCATAATGACATCGTCACATTGGGGCTGATAACTGATCCACTTAATGAGATCAGTATTGGAGCCAATATTGATACAGCATATCAGAGCACTCCTAATACCAACATGGGAGACTGCTCTTTTAGGGTCTGTGGTGCCAATATAAAAAGGGTTTAAATCATGCCTTAAAAGACACTGTGTGGGAGCTTATACTCTTAGCTATAAGTGTATGTCATTTTTAAATGATTTTTTTGCTGTTTGACTCTGTGTTATGAGTTGTAGTTTTTCCCTGTGGGTTTGAGTTTTTGCCATTGTTTCATATGTCTATTTGCCTGTTTTTCTCGTTCCTTGTCCTTAGTAGTTTTGTCATCTTTTATCTTAGCTCTTGCACCTGTGTTTCAGTTCTTTGTCTTTGTTCCCGGTCCTGTGCCTCGGTTATGTTTTAGTATTTACTTCTTGTTCCTCGTCTGCATTATTTTAGTTTAGTCTGCTCTGTATTCTGTGTCTTAGCTCCTCGTTCTGTGTCTCGGTTTATGTCTTAGTGTTTTGGGTTCTGTCCTCTGTCCAGTATCAGTTATATAGTCTGTGTTTTGGGGTTCACGCTTGTCCGTCTCTGTGTGTCACTCATGTCTGTCTTGTCTGTCGTCTAGTGTTCGGTAACCCTTGTCATGTCTGTTACCCCAGTGATCCCTCTGCATGTCTGCCTCTGTTTTCCCCTGCTCTCTCTCTCTCTCTCTCTCTCTCTCTCTCTCTCTCTCTCTCCCTGCCTGTGCCTCGTTAGCCTCATGTCTTTCACCTGTGTTGCTCCCGCCCTGCTCGTTAGTCCCTGTGTATATATACCTGGTGTTTCTGTCTTGTCCTTGTCGGGTCATTGTATGTTGTCACCCTGAGTTGCAGTGTGTGTTTCTTGTGTCGTCAGCCTCACTTGTCGTGTCTCTGTGTTTCCCTGCTCATTTTGGTTTTCTGTTGGACAACCTTTGTTTTGGACTTAGTCTTTCAGCCACTCAGTTTGTAAGTGTGCTCACCTTTTGTTTAATTAAAACCCTCGAACTATACCTGCTCCACTTTGTGTCCTGCGTTTGGGTCCTCCAACCTGCTTCACCACACCACTTACCGTGACAGTCTGAGTCACTGTATTGCTATTTTCATTATTTGTTGTATTGGGTGGTTGGTAAAATGATGTCTCTCAGTCAACTGTTCTCCTGCATCTTTGCTATCTTTATACTAAAGACCAAAGTGGGAAAGGGTCTCGAACATTTAGTAGGATGAGTGTGATTACATGTCTCCTTCTCATTGTATTAACTGAAATAACGGACTAAAAACAATTATTGAGGAGAGGAGGGGGACACCTATGGAGCCCCCAAAGGGTTACAGTGGAAATCTTTTTCTGAACTACTATAGCGTTCCCTTGCAATAAGGTTTTCCAGTCCCTCTGATCCATAGAGGAAGGCTGAGCTGTATTATGATACTGTACTATGCATTAGGCCTCTGTATTAGAGGTGCACCCTGCTGTGGCTGGCTCAGGTGCATATCTGTATCGTTGTAGCTAGATAGATAACTAGTAGAGCTTTAGCAGAGCTAGTCAACATAGCTCCCTTCACTGTGTTATTATAACCAGCTGCTGCTGTGGCTGATTCTGACAGATTGAGATCATTACTATAGCCATGGCATGACAGAGCTTTTGCTGTTGCTATCCCTGATTGGGGCTGTAGTGATGGCTGTGCATTGGTGTGATTATAACTGTAACACTGACTACATGAGGGGGGGATTGTTTGTGTGCAGTTAACAGACACGGTTTTGCTGGCTGAGAGTTACTAAAGCTACCGTATGTTTGAACTCCTGTGGTGTATTGGTAACACATCTGTCTTAATTGATATAAGCACAGTAGGTTCAAATTCAGTGTGGCTTAATGATGCTTTCTTGGCTAATGTTAATAGGAGCAGTATAGAATAGCCATAGACATATCCTTAACCCCAAATGCAGACATAGTTTGAGCAATTCCCATTTCCACAGCCATAGCTTCAACCACCACAGTCAGGCAGAGCAGCTGCATCTGTGCTCACAGTCATTGGCTATAGCCTACTGATGGAACTCTACTTTTTCTGTAATGAGCAATATATTCTTAATTGTACAATATCAAACACAAATATGCAACCCTGTGGAGTCGTATCTTCCACGGAAGATGCTAACCTGCAATATTTTTAGTTTAAGGAATGTAAGAAATTGGTTAGGAGGGAAAGAGGGTCAGGAAAGTGGGAGGGTTAATATGCGTCTTTTCTTTTTGCTTAAGGAATAATAGTCTTTAATTTTGGGAAGAGCCTGGGACAGTGTTTTAACCTTTCATCATCCCAGATTTCTATTTTATCAAGGTTAGGGTAGATTTCTATTTGATATTACTATTTAATGAGAAATGTATAATTAAGAAATAGTTAAACCAGTGGCTTTTGTGTAAGCTTCATGTGGGGCTATTTCTCTGTCCAGTCACCTTGCCTGTAAAAGCCAGGTCAGCTGTGCAGAGTTTACCTGTACCACTACCACACCATCACTATTACTTCTACACATCAAAGGACACTCTGATTTAGGCCTACAGACAGCGATCTGATATTTATTTTATTATTTGAAGTCTGGGGGAGGGCACTGCAGTATTTCTAAGTCATAGGGAGGGTCCAAAGAAAATATTTGCCTAACAACGCTGGGGAGGGTCTTACAGGGCTCCAGAAGGGTCATGGTGGGGAACATTTTTATGAGCTACTTTTGCATTCCCTCCGCAATAAAGTTTGCATTACCTCACAATATTTTTTGAATTTCCCCCTGATTCATAGAAACAGTGTGTTGATCCAGTCCAGGTACAGCCTTATACACAGTCAGTTTAGGGACACGCTTTGCAGATAGTCCAGAAAGGAGAGATGATGTGACACTTTACATTAAGGCAATGGGGCTTGTACCCTATTTTTATCCTTAACATGCGCATACCTGTACACTCGACACACTTACGCACAGCCATATTGTCATGGCGGCTGCGTGTTGGTACGAGTGGGAACACGACCCATGGTATTGGAGCAGGTCTGCAGCTTGTACAACTGGGGCAATTTCGTACAACTTGTATTTTCCCTCCTCAGACTGGCCCATTCTGACTCCACACTGAGCTGCGCGTCAGCTTGCAACGTGGCGCCTGAATCCCTCTCGTGTTACCGACATCCCGTGGGCCAATGGCAGGCATCCTGTCTGCGGACGAGGCTGGGCCCTGCCAGAAACGGACACTGTGATTGGCTGTACGTAAGGCGCCAGAAAATCCCGGTTTGGTTGCATCCCTTCCTCAGGAAACTGGACAGGATAGCCTAAAACCTTATGAGTGGAGACTGTAGGTGTTCTCAGTGGACCTGTCTGCAACCTCAGGTGCTTTTTGCAGAGTTTGACTGCTGGATGCAGCGGCAACATTGTTGCGCACCGCTGCTGAAGAGAGGAAGAAAGGTTAGTGTGTGTCGGTGCGAGCGGTGTAAGTGGCCGCGTAGCCCCTTGCTTATTGTGCGCTGTAGTGTCACAGGCCCGTTTAGAACTGTTCTAGCCTCAGAGCAGCCAGCTTCATCCCTGAGTGATGGACGCCTTCGGCTTCGTGTGTGCTGTTCTCCTGTGCGCCACCGTGGTGCACGGCAAGCCAACGTTAAGAAAAGAAAGGGTCCTTCATCCGGACCCAGAACTGAGCAGCAGGCCAGCCCAGGAAGACAATAAAAGCTTCCAGTACGACCATGAGGCCTTTCTTGGCAAAGAGGAGGCCAGAACGTTTGATCAGCTCACCCCCGAGGAGAGCCAGGACAGGCTCGGGTAAGGACACACTGTTTTTACTCTGACAACATGAGCTGATTTGTCTGTGACCACAATTCAGGTGTCTGCTGACGGTCTTGGGAGTCACAGGCTGCAGTGAGTAAATCACGCACATTCATTCCTGTCCTGCTGGAGTCTGTTGCGTGTAAGTGTTCAGGACATTAAAATGTAACAACATAAGCACAAGTGCATGAGAGAGATGTGCATGCCAGCAAGCCTACACGGCTGGCACTATTCGCACACACACTCCAATTAAAGTTAATTGCCTCGACGATATCTTAATTATAGATCGTCATTAAAGAACCATTTTTAGGTGATGCAGTTCGAGTAAAGTTGTGTGGCAGTAGACTGTCTTCATATAGAGCTGCTCCCATAACTTCCTCTGCTACGTGGTACTGTTAGTGTGCTTCCTCATTCACTTAAAGTTGGGGGGGGGGGGTTTGTTTTTTTTGCCACTGCTTGGATGAGAAGTTGCCCCCCCCCCCCGAAAAGGAAACCCTTTCCAGTGGTGGTGAGAGTGGGAGGACCCCTGTAACATCACAACGTGGCAACCCAGCTCTAGGAATACAACACAGCTACACTGCATTTTTACTAGAATGGGTTTGCCTGCTCCTCCTACCCACCCCCAAAGTAAAACTGTCCTGCCAAATATTTATAATTTATTTGTTTAGTTTTATATTCTTCTGCCTGCTAGTAAAAATAGTAGTTCAGTGTATGTTGGGACAACTCAACAGTAAGTTGGAGGGGAAATCAGCTCAAGACTTTTGTGCTTGTCAGTTTTCCATGAAAATAAGACCGAAGTGGCACATGTTTGCGCCTTTAATCAGTCTTTTCCTCCCTGTCTTTATTCTCTTGCCTTGCAGTAAAATAGTGGACCGGATAGACAGCGACACCGATGGCTACATCACCACAGCCGAACTCAAGGCTTGGATAAAACGCGTACAGAAGCGTTACGTATATGAGAATGTGGCAAAGGTGTGGACAGATTATGACCTGAACAAAGACAATAAGATTTCATGGGATGAGTACAAGCAAGCCACATATGGATACTACCTCGGTATGCTTTTCTTTTTGGGCATGCTGTGTCATTTTCAGTAGAGTACATAGCTGTTGTACAACAGAACTATTTATAGACATGACCGTAACCTGATTTATATTCCCCCTCTCAGCCAACCCAGAGGAGTTTGAGGATGCAACAGACCAGTTCAGCTTCAAAAAGATGCTTCCTCGCGATGAGAGGAGGTTTAAAACGGCTGATCTAAACGGGGACCTGGCGGCAGACAGAGAGGAGTTCACGTCCTTCCTCCACCCTGAGGAGTTTGAACACATGAAGGATATTGTGGTTCTGGTAAGCCCTCTGTGACCACAAGGTCATTAAGTATGTTTAGAAAGGGGCAGGGTAGTAAGGCATGTCTGTTGTCTCGTGGAGTTTTTCCAGAGGGTACACTAAGCACAGTGTTAGACCTACCGATTTGAATTTGCTAGTCCACTAAGAAATATTATTTCACGATGGGAATAGTTTTGAGTTTACATGTGTTAAATGTGATGGGCTTCTCGGATAAATGTGCTATATTTGGATAACTCCTCAATGGATTTTTTTTTCTTTTTAACTCGGCTTGGAAATGATCGAGTTTCTATATTTTTGGAAGAACAGGTCCAGTGGGATGGAGCGACTGTCCCATATAAGACTCAATCTTTAAATATAAATTTAGCTTCTTGGAGCAGTTGCGTGGCAAATGTTAGCAGTGATGCACTATGCTGCGCTGGTCATAAAAGTTGTACTACCCATTTGACAGAGTGAATTATTAATCTCTCATTTCTATGATGTCACAGAATGTTACCGATAGAACAGCCAGGGGCGTCTTCACTGATTGTGGTGAATCTGGCTGCAGCTAATGAGAGGTCTATTCAAATGAGGAAAAATGATTCTAAGAAAGAGACACTTTGCAGCTGTAGAAAGGACACGATTGTAGGCTAGCAGGACAGATAACTGGTGGAGCATATATTGCAGGTTCAGGCAGGAGCATGAAGTCATCTCACTGACTGCCAAATGTACACACTCATTCACAAAACGGAGAACTCTGGTTAAATGTCCGGCAGATATCAGCTTTCAGAGGCCAGAGACCACCACTATAGTACATTTTTTAACACGGACCACCTCCCCAGCCATTACCCATAATATGCCATTCGGTTTATGTGCCACTGCTGTTCACTCTGCCCTGTAGCTGTGATATTGCATCATGCAGTGCGTTGTATGCAATGAATCTGATTACCCTATTCCAACGGGGGTGTTTGTTGTCATAAAGTACTTAGACATACATATACATTTTAATTTCCATTTTTTTCATACATATTTATTTAATGGGAGCATACTGGAAGTGTAACAGTTAAATTACTTGGTTTACATCATGTTTCATGTATATGAATCATCAATTTCATCCCAGTTTCTGTCAAATCTTTTCTTTTACCCTCTAAAATCAGGCAACTTTTCCCTTTGAATACATTTCCTTAAAGGGGCTATATGTAAGTTTTTCAATGAAGTTAATCAAATTTTCATTGCCTTATTGTCATGGGGCTCAAAACTCACTTAGAAATGAAGCACACGCCTGTTTTCTCTGTTGCTTGCATCAGCCACTATTCTGCTTTTAATGTGGGGTCTCCGGGTCGGAGTCAGGCCTGTGCGCGCTCCCGAGCCTCTCTCAGACTACAGCAACAACACAGCAGCTAACGACATGCAGTCCACTAACACCATAAAACAGCCGGCTCGCAGCAAAACACAAGCTCCACGTAAGGATACAAAACAACAATAAAGGTTTATGTGCTGAAGCCCGTCAGACCAAACAGGTTCAGATGATGTTGAGTAAGAACAAAGTGAGCATTAGTAAAGTTGGAGAAACACAGAGAAAGTCACGTTAGCTCGCTGGCTAACGCCAAGCAGTTGCTAATCCGGTGCAAAGTTCGCTTTCCACATTACTTCACCAACTAGCGTGACCCATGTTACTATCCTGTGTACCACTGTTGATTTAGCCTGTAAGAAAGGATGTAACGGTAAAAAGCAAATGTGGAGAGATTTGTTTACTAACGTTAGCCTATAGTGATGCAGTCAGGAGCAGCCAGCTAACGCTACGGCAGCTCGGACCTGCTGCTGTTTGCTTCGTAACGTTCAGTTTAGGTTTATTGTGGTTTTACCAATACTCAGGTACACAGCTTCTCCACCTCTCCGTCACTGTAACTAACGTGACCCACATAACATAAAACACTGCAACAAAACGGTCACAACAACCCAGAGGAAGAACCATCCACTAACACTAGTTACAGTAAAGTTACTGCGGTCTAACTGTTAATAAAGTGTGACGCAATCTCGTTATAATATTCAGTCCAGCTCACTAACAGTTTCATTATCATCCAATACATGTAGCTGTGCTGACATTGCTGAGCTTCCGGAGACAGATTCACAGATAGTTAATGTTACTGAAAAGCAGCAGGTGAGCTAACGCTGTAGTAAATGTAACGTTATCATGTAACGAGCATGAATTGGTTCAACCTGCAGTTGATAAAACTATTACTGTAACGTTGCAGTGAGAGTTTACCTGAGTTCCCAGCTCTGTCTGTTCTCCCTGTCTGTCTATAGCTGCTGTCACTCTGCCTTTTTTCGGGAGTATTGTGCCGATATGCGGCTCGCTGCGCTGAATGAAAGGTACGGCGCCGGTGTTGAGTTGCCTCTGAGACGGGAACGTTGAAGTAACAGAGCCTGAACATGTCTGAGTGATAAGCCACAGCCTGCATGCTGGTGTTCCTGCGTTTATTGTGGTATTTCTGTATGAAAGTGGCTGTGTTTCGGATTATTCTCGCTCATGACTTAAAGCGAGCATGTGTACGAGCACACACCTGGTTGCAATCTCAGAACCGCACAGCTAGTGGCCGCTGGAAACTACACAATGCCCCAATATCAAGCCAATGCTCCAACTTGCACCAAATTCTTGGGCAACAACAGATCTGTTATTTCCTTCTATAGCCTCCTCAGTGTCCCCTAGGTATATCACAGAACAGTTGTTTGGGATGGCATATGCCATGTCTTTTATGCTTGCATTTACATTGTTCCAGGAAGCCTTTATGTATGAGAATGGTTTGCCACCAGATCACCACAGAGCCTCCGACATAGTTGTAGGTTGGTTAACTATCTTCTTTTGATCTGCAGCGTTTTGAAGAACTGTAGATTCTTTCAGCCAAGATCTTGCAATACTCTTGAGCTAATGGTACTAAATAGTAGGGCTGGGCAATAAAACAATAATGATAATTATCGCAATATAATTTTCCTCAATAACAAATGTTTAATATATCGTCAATAAATGTTTGATTTAATTCTTTGGAATCACAAATGGATTAGCACTAGGGATGCATCGAATGTTTGTAATTAATTAGTCGAAAAGAGCTTAATACGTCAAAAGACTGACTAAATTTTACCGAACAATTACGTTGACATGTCTGCAATATGGAAGCATTTTAAAGTGTCAGAGAAAGATGCAAAAATCACTGTTTGCAGACACTGTTCTGCTGAATTGTCTCTTAGCACATCCACTCCATCTGTGGCTGACTTCTTAGAAAAGGCAACAAACGGTCTGACCCGATTTGAGTGTTTCTGTCACTCATTTCTGAGAAGGCGATTAAGCTAGCTGCACCTAAATTTGGAGTGCACATGTATTCGAGCTTTTATGGTAAATCCACTGAAATGGACCAGTGCGAGCTGACAGGCAGGTTCACAACTTTATCCTGTCATTTTCTCCCTTTACGTTTGTAATATAATATAACAAGTGTTGCAGTATGAGAGTCCTACCTGAAGAGAGGCAGTGAAGTCTTCATGTTACGCAATACGAGAACCCCATACAACATTATTTATCAAATTGGGTCGGACTTGATGAATTTAGTGCGAGGATACACATGTAACAACAGCCAGTTTTCAAAATAAGGTGTGTATACAGGATGGAAATAAGATTAATTGGATAATATTCACAGAAACTATAAAACATATACGGGTCCGAGGCCCGAAAGGGTCCGGTAAAGTAAATTACATGTCCATTATAAGTAATTGCACACATGTAATTTACTTTACCAGACCCTCTCGGGCCTCGGACCCACCCACCATAGTCTCTCCAAATCCTGTGGGAAACACTGAGTAAAAAGCACATTTTGATTATTTAATTTATGCAATGGTTAAAAAAAGGCAAAATAAATGGGGAAAAAATGTGATCGTACTTGTTTTGTTTTTTTCAAAATATTCGGCTTCTGCCAAGAATTTTTATTTCGGTCCATCCCTAATTAGCACTTCATTTTTCTAAGATTTATTTTGTTGAGGAAAAGTGACTGAAAAAAGATTTTATCATAATTGTTTTGAATGTTCTACCTCAGATTTGAGTTAAGTGATTCACTGTTCTGGCATCAACTGTTTGTCACAGTTAAAACAACAATTAACCATCTGGTTTCTTCAATTTTCACTCAGGAGCAAAAATCTGCCTTTAAACTTGAAAGAAATAATGATTTGACATTTATTGTGATAATTATCTATATTGAATGATGATGATGATTGAAATGTTTTTATCGTGATAACACTTTTGGCCATATCGCCCTGCCTTACTATATAGTGTGTACGTTCTTTATCTAAAATGTCCATATTAGCCTCTTAATTGCAATTTGTTTTTTATCCATAACCTATTACTGATTTAATGATATATTACACTTTATGTAAAATGTTGGCAATCCAGTAAATTTTGGTTTATCATCCAATCCCATTGTATAGTTTTAGCCATATTAAAGTATGACAAAAAATTTTATGTTTTCTAGTGTCTCTGGAATGAAATGTACAGAACATCTCTCACACCGTCAGTGTTTACAGAGCTACATAGGTTTCCATGTTTTAATTAAAATCTTTCCTTCTTTACACACAACCTTTCAAAGATTAAGTGCGTATAGGAAATGTATGGATGGATGTTCTTGCGTGTTGTAAGTCAGCTTTAAGACTACAGAAGCTACAGGACTTTTAATAATTCAACAGGGTTCAGAGAGGGCCTCTCACCTACAGGAAAGGATGCATACAGTGATTTGAATCTGTGTAGCTGGTGCATGTGTTATGCCGACATGCATTGAAATTACTGTACATGTATGCATGCGGTTGTTAACTAATGATCAGCTCACACGGGAAGCCTCTAAGTAACCATTTAGTCAAATTCACACTCTGTCAAATCCAGGATGTGAGAGAGAAAACCATTAACCATGCCAGGGATTTAAAAGCCAGTGTTTCACCAATTGTTTGCTTAAAACAGTGTATATCATCTTTTAATGTGGAGGGCCGGGCTCTCATCAGCAGGGAATCCTGTAATTGTAGTGTCAGTCTGCCAGCCCAGCTGTAAGCTGACCCTCATGCATTCTACCATCCTGCCCGGGGCGACATGTTTCTCTTTTATTACTCAGTGAAAGTTCCACTATTGTTGACCCTTGTGTTTCCCTTTTAATGGTGTCATTAAACCATTCTGAATGCAGGAAACCCTGGAGGACATTGACAAGAACAGCGACGGACATGTGGATGAAGACGAGTATATTGGTAAGTTTAAGCAATGAATTAAAATGGATTCAATCAAATTAATTAATTTAAAAGGGAATTAAGTATCAGTTATAGAAAATAATAGCAGGAGCTTTAAGACAAATACAAGCTTAACTATATAAAATGCAATAAAACCATTCAGTAAAAATTGGTATCATAAACTGACAAATGAAAATACAATATACATGGTGCATAGCTTACTGTTTAGGTGTGAATGGCAAAATCCATGACCTCCTTTTGATGTATCCCCAATTTTAAGGCACGCATATGTGCATTAGTGTTTTGTTCAATTATAGTTTTGAGTTTCATACAAGATGACTAGTTTCTGGATGTTTCTGTTGACCTGATGAGGAAATTGAAGCTGTGTGTGTTGCTGCCTGTGAAATATGTCTAGTCACTATGGTTCCCATTTCCATAGGGATCACGTTTGTATATTTGAGGTGTAAGTTGTTTTTAAACTGCAAACATTAACTTAAAACAAACGTCTTGGTCATTTCAGCCGACATGTTTGCTCACGAGGAAGGAGGTCCAGAGCCAGACTGGGTCAAGACTGAGAGAGAACAGTTCTCTGACTTCCGAGACTTGAACAAAGATGGCAAGATGGACCAGGACGAAATCCGCCACTGGATTATGCCACAGGACTACGACCATGCCCAGGCTGAGGCCAGACATCTGGTGTATGAGTCTGACCAGGACAAGGTACATCGTCTCACCTGCATCACTGTGTTTTAAGATGATTAATTTGAAATATTTACATGTTTTCAGTTTACACTAGAATTCTCTAAAAGATAGCTGTTTACACTGAAATGTCAAGACAATAGAAAATTGTTAAAAAGTTAAAAAGGCCGTAAGGGATACAACATAATTGTTATCATCGTTGCTGTGGCCATGGCCTGAGATTAACAAAATATATCAGATTTGTCACATATTTAGATTTTTCAATGTAGTTAGAAGAAGTTAGGGCTGGGCAATGAAACAATGATTAGATTGCGATATAATTTTTCTCAATAACTAAATAACAAATGTTTAATAAATATTTTATTTAATTCATACACGTATGCTACAAAGTAGCATCTCATTTTTTAGTAAGTTTTATTAAATTAAATTTTACTCATGCATATTTGTTGAAAAAATATTTGATCAGGTTCTGACCATAAAGTAGAGTACTAATTAGAGCATTAGTAATAGTTTAAAAAACACAATTAACCATCTGGTTTCTTCAACTTTCACTCAGGAGCAAAAATCAGCCTTTAAACTTGAAAGAAATATTGACTTGACATTTATTGTGATATCGATATCGAATGATATGAAATTTTTTATCATGGTAACATCATCCAACCCTAGGCTTATTTATCTTACATTTCCTTTGTCCTCCCTTCTCAGGACCAGATGCTGACCAAACAGGAGATCCTTGAAAACTGGAACATGTTTGTGGGAAGTCAAGCCACCAACTATGGAGAGGACCTCACGAAGAACCATGACGAGCTCTGAGCTCTCAATGCTGCATGTGTGAGGAGGGTTGTTGAACATCTTTGTCTTCAAAGACAGACTCTTGCGCCTCCTGCCACCACCGCAGCCACCACTCCATCCTTTCTGCTTAAATAGCAGAACAGATGTCAGTGTGTTGGATTGTCAACCAACCCTGTAGATACCAAACAAGAGGAGGGATAATGGTCGGTTCTACCACTAAAACTAAACTAAAACTAAGGGTTCGTCTCGGGTTTTATATCTGACATTCAGGAGCAAAGCTAGACCCAGCGGCCCTACTTTCCACCTTTCAATGGTGCCTTCCAGCCGCATCGCCGGCTCAGCTGCCTCAGAGATCTGTGTAGATAGTCTTCCTATCTGTCAAAGCTGAATGCCGAACTTTACGTGGATTGTCAGATACAGGAACAGGTTTTAATAGCAATGTGAAACTACAATGCAGAACATTTATTCTGTTTTTATTTATTTATCGAGTAACTTCTGAAATCTAGGTTTGAGAAGAATACAGTGTTCACCTACAGAACTTACAAGTAAGACATGTTTCTTTGTTTACAGTTTTCCTGGTCAAATCATTTTAATGTTCTTTTTGTTTGGATTAGTGCTTTAAGAACTGTTAATTAAATGATGTTTAATGGCATGGTTTTTGCACGCATTTGGTTTTAGTGTAGCCTGTGAAAGACTTTTTTCCATCATATTTAGTTTGAAATGTATTTATTGGTATACTTTAGGCCAGCACTATGCTTCATGTTAAAGTTGATTGCCTTTTGCTGGGGTTATATTTGAGCTTTATTACAACTGTCTAATTTAATTAGCATTAGCTTTTTTTGAGTGTTCTGTTGGCTTGAATACATAAGAGGAGTCACATGACTTCTAGCTTCCTGGTACATCAGTCCAAGGTCATCTTCTTATCAGACTGAATTTATTTCCACTGCATTTGACATTGTATTTACCAGCCTGATGTTTTGGAACATCAGGCATTCATCTTCTGTATTTTTTGTCACTTTTTTCCCTCTTGTTTAATGGGTAGTTTGCATACAACTCATGAAAAAACCAAACTATGACCAGAATTTGTTTTTGTTGGTCAAATTAACTTCTTTTAGTTTTATTTTTATTTTTTGTGCTTTGTTGTCCCAAACCTCAGTTAGATTAATAGTCCACATCCCACACGGGCACAAGAACATCCACATGTCTCCTTTTCCACACTGCACATGCTCACAAATTGTGTCAAAATAAAAAAGCGTTGTGTATTTTTGTGTGTTAAATATCATTGTGCTGGGAGGAAATGGGGGGTTTTAAAGGGCACCCTTTTACCAAACCAGAAAGTATCTATAATTATCTATCTTATTATATTATGAGTATTGCTGTTATAAATCTGCAGAAATATGTTGTCTTTTCAGATAGGCAGCTAAAAGTAATAGCTCAACGTTTTGGGAAATACACTTGTTCACTTTTCATGCTGTGTGTTGGAAAAGAACATCAATCCTGCCAGCAGCCGATTAGCTTAACTGGAATCTAAGCCGAGCTAACTGGATGCTGGCAGTAGCTTCATATTTAGATTACAGACATGAGTGGTATTGATCTTCTCATCTTACTCTAGGCAAGAAAGCAGATAAGCAACTTTTCCCAATATATTGAACTATTACTTTAATCCACTGAATTATTTCACTCTTGTGGATCCATCTGTCTAATACAAGCTTACACTGCAGTTTAAGGAATAGCATGGCCTTGAATGCAACTGTGTGTTATGTTATATCATCATTTTAGAATTTTCTGTCTCAATAGCTATAGCTTACGCATCCCACAAAAAGTAAGTTAAAGTTTTTGTATAGCGCTTTTCAACATTAACATTTACAGAACAAAAACACAGATAGAAAATAATAAACTCATCAGAATGCTCGAAATATAAATCATTCTTCCTCTTCCTACTTCCCTTGTGTACTTGCTGTCAAAGAACATGGATACAGGTGAACACTTCTCTGTTCACTCGCGGTCTGCAGCAGGCATTTCCAGCCTACAGCATAATACTTTTAACACTCTTTCAGCCTTCTAGACTGATTTGGACACAGAGTTAGTTTCTCATAATTCCCTTACCCTCCTGCTGTTAATGCTGCGTGCGTTTGAGTAATTATTTGGTAGTCTTTTTCTCTTTTGTCTGACTTTGTTCTTCATAGATCTAGATCGGTCCCAATGCATGTATTGTATACATTGTGTGCTGCATGTGCTTGAAGCTTCACATGGGCATACTGTATCTCAGGTAGCTAAATCGGATGTAGGCGGTTAAAATGTTCAAGTCTGCGTTCGACACTTGACACATTGAACATCAGGAACAAGCGGATGCTGTTAACACTTCTCATGCCACTTCTCATTGCACCAACGCACAGCGGAGATGGAGTTAAGCTGACTTAGTGTTGCTGCTGGCTGTTGCAGTAAAACTCTCAGATGTAACTGAGAAAGCTGCTCTGCCACCCAGCCTGTCCCCTCTGCTTGCTCATGTGGAACATATGGATATATGTGTGCCAGTTAGCAAGACAAGTCAAGCGGGACCAATGCGATAAAGCTCATTAGGAACAAGGGATAGGGCGATGCATGTGTTACTCTGCTGTGATGTAGGACCATCTTTAAAAACTCAGGCCATGACTGCAGAAGCCACACATGTCTGGAAGGATATTAAAAATTCAGTTCTTGTTTGATATATTTTACTTTTATATGAATTTCTCTAACATTTTCCAGGTTTAAACAACTTTGTAGGAGGGCAACATGACAACAACAACGATTATTTCATAAAAATTTGCAGAAATAGGTTACAAAAGTCTGGCGTGGCTCCAATTGTACAAACACATTTCTTCACAGATGAATTCCTTCTTTGCTCTTCTGACAAAAAGCTCCAGGTCTGAGGATAATTTTAAATAGAGGTGTTGCCTGTAGTAACACCTGTTATTTTTGGTCTTTATAATGTCCATTAGATAATCTAATGGTTGCTCTATTGCCCTGCCAAAGAGTGCGGTGTCAGTTTTGCATCACACATTTGAATAATTGGGAGGCCTGAAACACTAAGTAGCTCAATGTACTTCCTCCAAATAGCATATGAGGTTTGTCATGTGTCAGGGTGCATCTGTGTGTCTGGGCCAATGTGTGAGTGGAGGTGGATGAGTATTAGTGGTGCACAGTGATGTAAAAGAACCAAATGTGTGTTTGCCTGACCAAGATGGGGGGGGGGGGGCACATGGACTATCTGTGCAGCCTGCCTCGTGGTCATGTTTAACAGCCTCCCCCTCCTGTTTATGATAAGTTGCTAATCATTCACACAGGGGGAGTGTGTGTACAGTAATGCCTTCAGACAGCTCTCATATGAGTGTCTGCGTAGATCAACCCCTCTCCACTGATAATAATGAGCCCTCTGGGTGAGAACAGGGTCGTAAAGTGTAGAATATTAATGTCTAAGACTATAAGCCCCTCCATCCAGTATAATTTCCACTTAGTCTTGCCCACCAACAATCTCCTATTAAACAGCTTTATTCGTAGTGCACTTCCATTTCCATATCAGTAATTAACAGTAGCAAACCCAAAATGACTACCACAATTAAACTGCCTGCATAACAAACTATACACTGCATCCAGTACATCCAGTACTCTTTCTCTTATCATCACGATGCCCTATTTTTCATCTGCATATATCTGCACTCCCTCATCTTTGCCTTTCATCGCTTGTGTTTGTTCCTTCTACCCTGGGGATTTGTAGCCCAGGGTATTGTTTGTAATGATCTTTGGGACATCTGACCCATCGTGTGCCGAGGCTTTCATAACAGGCTTTCTGCCCATTATATAATAACATTCATTATAGCCAAAAAAGTCAAATTTCTGTTTATTATTAAGCTGTTTAGACAAAACATGTTTATATTTCACCTATGAATGGGAACTTTATGTGATTATTTGCCTTAATATGACAGTCCCGGGGTAGGCTTTCCCTTTCTCTTCCCATTAGAGGTCAAATTATAGTAGTATTGTTGAAACTGCAGTGTATGAGCCAATATATACTACAAGTACCCACAGCATAACTTTTTTCCATTTATAGTGCGTTATATTTAGAATTTTTATAACTTTTGTTGCTGTCACCATCATAATTTGTAGTATCAATATGCTATAGGTATATATTTATATGAGGTCATGTCGCCTGTAATTTTTCTTGGATTTTTTTTTTCAGTTTTACCAGCCTACAGTCAAACACTTGGAGGGTATCTATTCCAGTTAGTTTCCTAGGTTATTTGTTGTGTCATGCACATACAAGCACCTAGCCCACATGGACTTATGAGACACCAAAAAGTAGTGTTGCAGTGGGGATTTTTCTTCTCACATTCCATCGCAAAACAAAGAAATTTTGTCTCTTCAAATAAAAGCTGCCACAAAAAACGTACCCCTCCTAAAACACAGCTCAGGTTTTTTACAATCATCCATCCACTGTAGCCCTTAAATCATCATATGACGAACAATAAAACATGAAAATGGGCTTCAATCTCACCCTAAATCCCATTACGGACAAAAGTCTTTGCAGTATTTTAAGGCTATACTTTGGCTACTTTTAGGACAATTGAAAAAGTGTCAGTAATTAATTTTGTTCCTGGCAGTAGGAGTAAACAGCATTTAGACCATCATGTAGGAAATTAATAGATGGAATTCAAATTAATGGAATACATGATTTAATAGTTAAGGGAGTAAGTCTCAATGATAGTTAAGTGAGTAAATCTAAATGATGAGAAAAATGTATCAACCCTCTAGTGTGTGGTCAAAATCCTGTGACTGCCTTGGGTGAACTTGAACTTATGACCTCAGTTTTTGTGAAATGCTAGCCACGGCCCCATTGACACACAGACGTTCCCTTCCGTGTTCGTGCAAGTTGTGTGATCGCATGTGCGTGTCATGTGAATGTGGGCTAATTCAGCGCCTGGCATGTTTCTACTTTTGGACATTGAAGCTTGAAGGAATCCATCAATCTTTCATGTCATCTCAAAGAAAGTGGTTATCCCTCTCTCTCTCCCATCACGGGACTCTACTCCTCCTAGTGGTGATGAGAAAGAACGAGAGGCAACCGCCTCTCTTTTAAAACAACTGCACTTGTGCTCGTCCATCATCATGAGTTTTTATGTGCCCATCAACGCAGTGTAGATAGGGAATCGGCCATTAATGACTACACAATTAGAGAGGAGGCTTTAAAGAGCAATACATTTCAATTTAGGGACCATAAACCTAGTGAGTTGGTAACTAATTGTAAGTGCCTCTGGAGTAATGGGAGCCCTTTGAACTGAGGTCAGAATGACTCAAAATCAGTTTCAAACAGCTTTTACACAGCTGCTTTGCTGCTCTAGTCGCCCACTCATTCTGACAGGCCACTGCATATCTTATATGATATATGCAGAGAGAAACTTTTCAAGTTTTAATTAAAAGACGGAAAAGTGGCCCAGTGTAGAGTTGTTTTTCAGTTTATGACAGTGAGGGTGGAGACAATGTGTATCCCAGTGAGACTGATATCTTTGGACAAACCGCCTCTCTCGCTCCATTTGTCAAAAATGTGTCTCTTTCCTTTCTCTGGTCCTCTCTCCCCACGTCCCAGCATCTGGACACCTTTGGGATGGAGAGGGGTGATGAGGCCTTGTTTCATCCCTCCCATTCCACTGTTCCCCAGGGGGGAGGCTTGGGTCGGTTTTGTGATCTTGTGTCTCACATGATAGAGACACATCTAATCCGGTTAGGCATTAATATCTTATAGCGGAATAGAGGAGACAGCAGGAGGGAGCGAAGAGGAGAAGATGAAAGACAGGATGGGTGAGGAGAGAAGAATATTTAAAAAGCTCCAGCTCTGCCTTCTATTTGCTGGCCCACATATTGGTTTTGGTTTAGAGTATACATTTGTGTGTGTTTGTGTTTCTGTGTACCCTCATGGGATCTTCCCGGCTGCTGCCTGCATATCTGACAGACTCCTCTCAAGGTGTTTTCCCTTTGCTGTCTTTCTGTATCTGCTCCATCTCTGCTCCCTGAGTGAGAAAGTTTACCCTCTAGGCCCCATCTGAGCTCCAGGCCCCCAAGGCCTCTGCATTCCCAAAGCTCCTACACACCGGAGCCCTTCAGGCTCCCTGCTATACCACGGGGAATACCCCCAAGAACCCCTAGGCCCCTCAGACTGTGGAGCAGCAGCTCTGCACAAGAGAGCTAGCCCGAGGGGAGGGGGAGATGCTGTCTGGGAATACAACTAAGGACATGCTTCACTTAACATTTGAAGAGTTCCTGACAGCGCCTCCTGTTGGTGTAGCATTGTTTTTGCATGCAGGCCTCCTTGTAACCCCTTTAAGTTTCCTCTCTGGGGCCTTGACCTTGTTAACAATCCCTTGGGGCTCATTGAGGCCTCTGTGTGCTACATGTGCATTGACCTTTCCTGCTCCCGGAGGTTAAATAACGTATTTTGGCCCACAGCAGGAGCTTTATATGTGATGTTGGATGCACCTGGGAGTTTACTGATATATTAAAAAAATAATGTCACTCCTTATCAAACCAAGTAAATAAAAAGACATTCATTATTCAATATTACAAGCATGAAGAAAGTGAAGTTTAGGACTTGCATATATAGGAAGAACTGTGCTTGTTTCTTGGCTTTCATTGTACCAATGAGGTTATATCACACACATTTCAAAAAGAAACCTTTTTTGGGAGGGCTGCACGTGGATATGGAGGCTGTGAAGCTAGCAGGCCTGCTGTCCTACAGATGTCTTGGGCTATGCGTTACCAGGTGTACGTCACCTGAGATTACCCACGCTGACACCCCTTGAAGGCAAACAGCCAGCATTACAGCTGAGGGGGCATCTGGTGGCGTGTGCGCATGTGAGCGTGTGTGTGCGTGAATACGTGTGTTCATGCATTAAGATCAGTGGTAACGTTTGGCAGGATGGGACTGAGTGCAGACATTTGTTGTGTTATCAGATGTTACACTTGCTCCCCACTATCTCAGAAACTTTCTCAATCAAAGTAAGGAATGTAGATCAGGTAGATCGATGTAGGGTTGAGGTCTGTGTGTCTCTGAGTGTGTGTGTGTGTGTGTGTGTGTGTGTGTGTGTGTGTGTGTGTGTGTGTGTGTGTGTGGTTGTGGTTGATGGCAGGACGTTTAAAGCATGGGTTCCTCACGCTCTACACAGCCCTGGCAGTGTCCAATTAAGAATGAACTGGAGTGAGTAAAATGTTCAACTCCGCTGTCCCTCTGATCTTCCTTCCACTTCCCCGGCGCCCCTGCAGAGAGAGAACAAAGAGAAGCACCTCTTAATCAAGGTGCATTGGATTAGGAACATCACAGAGATACTACCTCGCAGCTATTAAGTGGATTGGAAAACAACTTGAATCATCACTTCAAATGAGCAGTCTGTGACCCTGAAATCGGAGAACGGCATTTTAATCTTTCTCTTTGTTTGGCAAGTTGTCAAGACCTGCTGTGGTAATGAAATGAGCAGATGTGTGTGGGTACAGTATGTAGTGTATGTGTGTTTCGGTTGAGTGAGTGACTGCCTTCTGAAAACATGCGCAGTGGTTTCCCTGTGTGAACATGTAGCCAACAGATAAATATACTATGCCTGTATGTACGTGTTTACATTGCTGTTTCAGGTATGTGACATCATTAGCCCACAGAGCCATGCAGCATTTAGTCATATTTTATTAACATACCTGCTGCAGCTGAATCATCTCATCTGCTTTAGGCTTGCACACAAGCTGACACACAACTCCATCCACATCATGTATATTTGATGGGCCGTGGCGTACTGCGAACATGCCTTCCTGTTTCTCACTTTTGTTGATTTTAACATATTTATTGTGGCCACTGAGTACCATTACGGACAAGACTGAAGTGGACATGGACTATATGAAGAATGAAGTGTAAAAGTGTAAGCAGTTTTATGGGTTTAGTCATGCTCCAGTACTTGCAGCCCAAGTCCCATCTGCTGGCCTAAAAAGGCTGATACTGCCATCATGTGGCTCAAGGATGTAAAACTCCTAAACAGGAGGCTAAGGACTTCAGTCAGAGAGGTACAGCCATCTGACACTGAGGTATGTGTCTTTTCTAATGAGATTTACCGGGCTCCAGATGTTCCTAGTTATGAAGATGTGTGTCGGAGATTTAGGAGGGTGAGACCTGCACCCTGTCAGAGTCACAGTGGGGTGCTGTTATCCTGTCAGTCACCCACCTCATCCCCCCGCCACCACCACTCATAGGTGGCCTTTTAACCTGACAACGCCAACGCCTCTTCTTTCTCTCTCTCACCCACCCACACACACAAGCACACACTCTCAGCATTGACAACAATGTGAATCAACATTTTATAAACTTACAAAAACATAGAAAATACAAAAGGAATGTCAATAAAGGTAAGCAAATACACCACATACAGTATATACAAAGCAATTTGGTGGGTAGGAATATAAAGACGTTCACATTCCCCAAAGCACAAATGAACTGTGTTCAACTTAATGGACAAAAAGAAAAAGACACAATGTCCATTTCCTAAATCCAGTTTACATCGTCCAGCACATTTTCAAGGTGACACAATTTTAATAATGAAAAAAAGAACCCAGTGCAAGTGTATTAAAATATCCAAAATAATGCATGAACATTTTCCTCATCTCACATAAAAAATCTTCTTGGCTCAGAGTTACTGTGGTATTGTACTCAGTCTGAGTTATAACGTCAAATAACTGCAACGAGGGCTAGTTTGAGGTGCATCTTGAAGACCTCGAGGATCATCGTAGTCTCTTAATGTTGGCTGGCTGAGGGAGGCGTCAGCTGTGCTCACCACTTTGGCGAGTCTAGCAGGGGACCATAACTGTTGACCAGGCTCCAGCATCTTTCTCTACTAACTGGCACAACATACTGTCACCTTCCTCTTCATCCTTCTCTTCCTCCTCTCGCTGCTCAGATGGCAGGTTGCAGCTTGGTCAGGTTCCTTTGGTGCATGCTGTGGTGGCGCATCAACTCGTCAGAGCGGGCAAATGTCTTCTGACAGTTGGACCAGCGGCAGGAGAAGGGCTTCTCACCTGACAAGGGGGGGGGGGACAAATGAGGAAAAACAAGAGGAAATTGTTGCTTTAGAGTGAATTCAACTCTTGGAGTGGACACTTGTGTTTTGTTGTACATGAGTTAAAGTCAGGGGGACCATCTTAACACAAAAAAAGTCTCACTGAGGGAAGAATGGAGAGGTAGAAAATAAAGGTATACGCACTTGTTTTACCTGTATGAGTCCGAGTGTGCGTCTTAAGATGATCTGACCGTGAAAACTTTCTCTGACACGTCTCGCACTGAAAGGGCTTCACTCCTTAAGGTGGCAGACACAGAAATTAGAAGAGGTTGGGGTGAGGGTGAAAAGTATAAATATAAGATTAGATTATCACTGTGCAGGTTGAAAGCATTACAAATGAAAAGTGTTCAGGGAGTTTTTTATAGTTCCAACACACGTTTGTGTGGTTTCTAATGAGAGACTTTGTAAATTCAAATAATTAAAATTCACATATTCAGTATTGAGTGGAAAATCATCAAGCTCAATTAATCAAATCCATTAATTAAGCATGTCTTCTTTGCCATGATGGGTCACACATTTCAACAAATTGGAGCTGCACCGGACTCCTTGTTGTAAGGCCAAGATTAATATTGTAAAAGCAACATATAGCTCCAGTTTACAACTGTTTGTTGTCACAGAAGTAATTTCTGAAGCTGTAATTCCTGCTATTCTATTGCTCGATTACATTATACAAGTATTGTATAATATATTGTGTTTTGTAACAATGATGATGGCATCTATTTTCAAAAAGTAAAAAGAGAAGTGAGAGAGGGAACCAGGCCTGTAGCCGGGATTTTACAAATAATGTGGTCATCATTCCCACCCACTTCAGAACTTTTTTATAAGACACTAAAATGTTTTAATCAATTATTTGGATTATTCATATTTCAATCATTCTATTAACTATTCAGTTAAATCTTTTGGTAATTTTATATCACCAAAGCCTGTTTCATGGCCTTCTCCACATTGCCTGGAATACAATTTTTGTGGGGAAATACCAAATCTTTTAGTATTTTTTATTTTATTTATTGGCAAAACATAGTCAAATTTAAATACACTGAGTCTAAAAATACTTGAATCTGCCTATAAAATACCCACTTTGTGTTTTAAAGTGTTTTATATTGTGGAATGTCCCCCCAGGTTTCTAAAACATCCAAATACCCACAAAAAATACTGAGATTATGAGCATCTTTAACAGTAGCTACAGCCCTGGAAGGAACTCATACAGTCGCTTGTCACAGGTGTACCTGTGTGTCTGCGCTGGTGCCTCTTTAACTGGTCTGAGCGAGAGAATCTACGGCCGCAGTCTGTGAAATCACACTGGTAAGGCTTCTCTCCTGCAAAATAAACCACCAACATCAAAATCATCATCAACATCATCCAAATTCCAAGATTTTACTTATGTTAACATCTGCACCATCATCACATCAAAATTAGGCACATTTTACAATTTTATGACCATTTATGTCACCAGATCTTACTGATTTGGGGGAAGTTGATGCGTAAGCTTTATCAATCTACTACAGATACACACATTCAAACCTGGGCATAAAACCCCTCATTTCTTCCATACAAGTACAAGTACAAGTACAAGTACCATTTTATTTTTATCAAACTGAACTTTAACAGCCTGTATGAATCTCTCCTTGAAATTTATAAAAAGCAGCAGTTTGAGGTCTGGCCAGGAAATAGGGGGATAAATCACATCATCTGACCTGTGTGTTTGCGGCCGTGCATCTGCAGATGTGACAGTTTGAAGTATCTCTTGCTGCAGCCAGGGTAAGCACACACAAATGGACGCTTTTCATTGGCCTCTTTCACAACTGGTGGGGCAATGGCAGCTACCCGTCGAACATCCTTTAAGAAAGAGGAGACGTCAGAGGGCTTTATAGTAGCAATGTTCACTATGTGTATTTATCTACTGTATGTGCCTGTATGTATGTGTTTGTTTCTCTGACTGACCTGAAGTCCTCTGAAGACACCGTGTGTGTGTATGTGGTACTGGGCACTGACGAGCATGGGCGGAGGCGGGACTGTGGGGTCACTGTCGTAGCTGGTTGTATGGCCACTGCAGGAGCACAATTAGAAATTTATTAAAACACTGAAAGTCTTGAGAGCAAATATTCTGTTTTGTCTTTCTCTCCTCCACAGCACACACACTTCTCAACTACATAGCTATCCTTAAAATCACTTAACTCTAAAACCAAGTCCTCGAAGAAGTGCGGTCCAGTCAAAGTGTCCTCACTTTGCAAAAACTCAAATTAGTTTTTAGAACATACAAAAGAACCACAAGACACATCATGCACGTATACACACATATGAATATGCTGCTCTCCACTTCCTGATTTCCCTAGGCAGTAGGCCAACAGCCATCTGTTCAAATCCTCCTCCTCTGCACCACCACAAAACTGGTCAAGACGGAAAAAAGTTTGTTATTCAGTTATTCAAAAAGATACAACAAAAACAACTCACCTCTTCATGGAAGATGCCAGGCTGTTCATTTGGTTCCATGTTACACAGTCCAGCTGAGATGCCATTTGGTACAGGTTTTCACTAAGTGAAACATACAGCACAGTGCTTAGCCTTTAACATTTGTGGTAAAAAAAAAAATATATATATATATATATATTTTCTTTCTTTAAAAAACTTGTTATTGAGTTTGTAAAATTTCAAGGCAACAAAAGATGTTATTACATTAAAAATGAAATGGTAATGGAACAAGGATTAGGTCAGAGGTTGTAACACATGAAGAGGAAAATACTGTATATGTCTTTGTTTTATTTTTCTTTCTTTATTAATTACATATTTTGGGAAAGTCCTGAAATTAGAAAACACAGACAATATTTATGTTACTGTGCATTCTTCTTCTGTCATTTCTCTTCCCTTGTATGGATAATGAAGATTTTTCTTTCACGGGGAACTCCAAATTGCTTGCTTATTAACACATCCTGTCCACCCATCACACTCCTCATTGGCTTCATAAAAAAACATGGGCTCAGAGCCATTCTTTACCTTGGCAGATCACACTATAGTGCAGACACACACATACACACATTTCACAGAAACACACACACTTGGAGATGAGGTTGTGCACTCTGCGGGGGTGAGTGCCTCCGTGCCTAGTACACCATGGACCAGTGCATGACATCACTCTGTCCTCAGTATCATTAAAAGGCGGGAACCAGTTTCGGGGGATTTCTGGACGGCATTCCTTGAGAAGTCCTTGAGGGAAGGACCGCGATGGCTCACTAATCAGCTCTGAACTATGTAAAACTTTGGAAAGACTCACTGATATCTGACATATATCCATGGTGTGTATGTGAGAGCGTGTGCATGTGCGTGTGCATGTGTATGTGCATGTGCATGTGCATGTCTCTGTGTTTGTTTGAGGGTTTCCAGCTCATGCCATAAGCTGTAACAACAGCACTGTCTTCCCTCCTCTTATCAACTGCTGTTCCAGTATTTGGGTTGCACATGTTCCTTTTCTCCAACAACATCGCAGGGAGGCATTCAAAGAATTTCATCCTAATTTACCCTTTGAGATGTTTTGCATCAAAATGAAAACAAGGTGGAAACAACATTAAGATGTTAAAATAAGCAGTTTCCAAGCCTCAACTACCCCCCCCACCCACACACACACACACACACACACACACACACACACACACACACACACACACACACACACACACTTAACTTTCACTTTCAGTGAACTTGTCTCTTTTACTTTTCTCCTCATTTTTCATCAGGGTGGACTCAGACACATCAGCAGTAGATCACTCACTGTTTGTTTTGGCCCGCTGAGCACCAGTGGGCAGCACTTAACCTCAGAACAAATTAGGATTCACAGTCCAGACAGTGCAGAGGCAGATGCAGGGTTTAACATAGGATCAGTGAGAGTTCACACTTCTAAATATTACCAGCAAGGGAGCAAGCTGCATGTGGCGTTAGTGGAAAGAATCTGGCAATTGATGAGTGAGGAGTCTGAAAACTTTTGGAAAGAGCGGAATTGCGCCGAATGGGGATTCAAGGTAGCAGGAGTTAAATAAAGCAACAATAAGTGCATGCAGGGACAAATTATCCTACCTGTTTCTCAGCAGCAGAGCTTGGCTGCTCGGACAGGATTCTGAAGGATTGTGGCAACCAAACATGGGAGGAGGAGCAGGGTACTGCTGGTCAACTGAATATAACAAAATACAATAGTTGCTTCAAAATAGGGCTGCAAATAACAATTATTTATATTATCCATCAATCTGCCGATTATTGTCTGCATTTTAGATTAGTTGTTTGGTATATAAATGTCAGAAAACAGTGAACAATGCCTTTTCAAAGAAGCAGACATTTTCAAGCAGCTTATTTTGTCCAAAATACAACACAAAAACACAAAGATACTCAAATGCTTCACATTTCAGGAGCTAGAAGCAGTGAATTTTTGGATCTGAAAAATCATCAACATGGCTGCTAATCAACATTTTTACAATCGATTAATCGACAAAATGGATTCAGCCGCACTTTAAAACGTTTGCCCCTCAGCAGCTTGCTGTCTAGTAGGCCTATCATTAAGCTGAAGACTTTCCCAAGAACGATCTAGTAGGTAGATGTTTGTATGTTCTCCAGAACAGAACAGACACGAAACAGATTCAACTACACTTGTAAAAAATATACTTTTAAAATGAATGCCGGTTCATTTTAAAGACATAGGCACACTACATGAAAGTCTGTACAGGCACACAGCTCTCCTTTTCAAAGGGTCAATCAGAAACAGTGGTGCTTTTCAGGTTCATATAGTATATTGGTCCCCAGACAGTTTTTGACATTCCAGCAGAGTCACATAAAGCTGTTTCCTCAAGTTATCATTAACCATACGTGTGCTTAAAGAGCGAGAGGGAGAGTGTGTTTATGTAGGCCTGCGTATATGAATGTGTGCGCAGACAGAGACGGCGAGAGATGAAGTAAAATGGATAATAGCGATTCTGTTGTGATATGAGAAATGACGGGTTGCTTATATAACCTTGCTGTGACATGACAGTCTTCCAGTCTGCGAGTCAATTTGGTGAAAACACTCGAGGAAGCAGACAGTTACCTATGTTGTTTGGCGGTGACATTGTGTCCTCATGTTTGAAAGACAGGCTGGAGAGCTGAGGGGTGTGGTGAGACGGAGTGTGACCATAACTTTGGTTGCTGTCTAAACCCACCGCTCCATAAGCTGAAAAGAGAAAACAAAAAGAGAAGCATTGGAAAGTTAAAACAATCTTATTTGCCTGGCCGAGTCATTAGATTACCATCTTGCAAATGTCTGTAACATTCTGAAGCTTTGCAAAGTCTCCAGTATCTGGTCAGTTATCTGAATCCCCCTGGTAGTAGCTCTTAGTCCCTGGCAGGGTTACCACAGAGAGGCATTCATCAAACTACTAAATCCTCTTTCCTTGTAACATGTTCTTTTCCCCCTCCATCTATCTTTGGCCTTGTGGTTGTAATATTTATGGCAGGTGGAAAAAGAAATTTGGCAAACACACCACAGACAGACTGGGATGAGCTACTGTAGAATATGCTCAGTAAAAAAACAAGGTAGAAGTAATTCATTGCATGTACGTTAACTAAATTACAGTCATAAGACTGCAAACAAATGGTTACAGTAAGTACTGTTACAGCTATTATTGCAGTTATTAGATTTGAGAAAGCTTTTGTGAAAATTTCCACACAAGCACATTTAACCTGTATACAATGTTTACTTTAAGTAAGGCTGCTATGTTCTGAGTCAGGCCCGAAAGGGATGTTGAAAGGTTTCAGAGAATAATGACTCATCTAAATCCCGACAGCCTGCAGAGCCTTTATTTGATCACATCATCAAAAAACAACTTTCCACTGAGCAAACAAGACTGACTGCACACCGTCTCTTAAAGTCCCACCGGTAGACACATGCAGGTTTAAACCTCTGACCTCGGAGTAATGACCCCCAATAGACACAAGCATTGTTTACAGGAAGGTAGAGGCATTATATCAATACAACTTCACAGGAAACAGAAATTAAATTTGATTCCAGATTAAGATTCCAGATTTTTTTAAATCCCAGTGGTATTGTGTGGTGCAGTAAATCAAGCCTGTGATTCACAGTTCATCACTTCAGATATTTTCCCACTTAATTCTTAGATTTGTGGTGTTTTGTTGTTCCTAGAGATATACTGCATGCATTCTTCATGACTAAATAGTTTAACCCAATATGTTTCTTTAATTTTAAACTCTATTCTGTTTCATTTCTAGCAGTGCAAGTTGTTTTTTGTTGTGGCACAGTAAGGATCAGGTTTTTTTAAATGTAATATAAAATAACACTTGTACATGCCAAAATAATCAAAACTCTAAAAATGCAAAACCTCAAGGTAGTTTATTCACAACAAGCTGATGAGTGTTTTCAGTATCTTTGCCTCCAGTCCATGGCTAATTTTAATGTACTGAATTAATTAAGGTTCTACACTACTGCAACATTCACTGTGATAATTCAACAGGCCATAATATTTTTTATATAAATATGTAGATTTTATATGAACTTGGTTGGAATGTACGCAATGCTGGGCAAACTTTACCCACTACTACTGGGTTGTTTTGAAACAGTGTAATTGATATTTTTTCATATTAGTTCTGGTGAAAAGCTCTGTTTTTTACACAAATGTATTGTTAGTTGGTTGAACAAAACCATGTGTATGACATTCAAAACTAAAATGAGGTAGAGTAGATAATAACAGTTGTTATGTCTCTGCCAGTGACTGAAAATCAAACATTCGTTTTCTAATAAAAGGACCTGCACCCACAAGTGCAAAGGTATTGTTATAGCTATTTCTGCCAGAGAATTAACAAAAAGCTGTCCATCCCATTCCTGACATGGGACAGAATGACCCAGTACAGCACATAACATCCTTCTCAGACACAACACAGTTGACGATCCCTAAACATGGCGTTACATCATGAACACATACAGCAGGAAATTTAAAAAAAACACTGGCTTATAATAATATCTGGATTTTATTTATTGGTGTGTGGTGGCGGTGGTGGTGGTGGTGGTGGTCTTGCAGCACCCACAAAACATTAAGCAGATGAGAGATGACAGAAGTGGGGTGAAGTGAGGTGGAGCTGGTAAAGAGCACTCTTACCCTGGTTCCTGGGAGCAGGAGGACTGTCCATACAGCTGGGCAGGTAGGTTCCATTGGGAAACATCCTTGGTTGACCTGCCGTTGGCTCTCCGAAGGCCCCAACTCGACAGGGGCCTGAGCCTGTAAACTGGCCTGAGAAGTGCACTGTGAAGGCCCCGAGTCCACAGTGAGGGTCCTCTATTGGATCGGTGGTACCCCAACCTGGTTCCTGCTTGATGAGGGAGTGGTGGGAGGGCAGGGAAGTGTAGGGAGAGCCAGGGTGGAGGTCCAGCAGTTGGGTCCACTGGCCACCACCAACTCCTGGTAAGGATGGCACAGGAGGTGCTGGAGGTAAGAGATTCAGATCTCGAACATCCGACCCCATCGCCGTGACTCCACACGGTTCAGCCAGCATTGGTGAAGGCGGTCGAGACAGTCCAAAGAAGGAGTGACGGTATTCCGGTAGAAGGCACAGCTGGGAGATTAAAAAGTCACACAGTAATAAACTCCTGAAGTTTAACAGAAACAGTACCTAAGAAACAAAACATGGAGCAAACTCTTCTGCAGACATCAGTGGTCACAGCACACTATAGGAGCCATTTTTCCAGTGAATTAGCGATAATGACCCAAATCTGGATGCCAAATCTCAAGCTCCCTGGGTATCTGCAGTGGGTTGGAGTGGGAGTCAGTGCCTTGTCCCTCTGTCTCTATAATGTCTGACTTGCTTTACTCTCCTGAAGGCTCAAATACTGCGTTACTCATTGGACAGGGGGAGGAGCGAGGAAGGGAGGGAGGCTGAGAAGAAGATGACTCCCATGCCTTGCCCCAGCCAGCAAAGACTGCACTTCTGAGTAGATTGTGACCAACATCACATTTGCATAAGCCGGTGTTGCATTTCATTCTTTGTTCAAGTTCAAGTGTTGCTCATACTGAGTGTTTGTGCAGCATGTGTGAATACGTGTATGCAATCTAATTTCTCTGAAAGTCTGACTATGCTGATGAACGTAAAGTGCAAAACTGCTTTTAGTATTAGTAAGTTAAACAGCGATTGGTACAGGTCACCATAAGGCCGATTTCCACGTTTGCCGTAATTATTTGATTTTATGGCTCAGAGATTGTCCTATTTTAATATTCAATTTCTAGCGTGTGCATAAACTAAAACGACACATATTAAACGAGAAAAAAACTACATTATTATATATACATATATATATATATAATATATACATATATTAAAGTTTAACAAAAGATTTTTTTAAATGTAATTTCAAAACAGAAACACTGAGGTGTTTTGTTATTTGTACACTATTGACCCGAGCTTTCCTCTTAGGCATTCACCATCATTTCTGACTCTTCTGACTCATCTGTTTTCTGAAACATACTCCACCTTCAAAATATGTAAGTAACATAAATCACAAATATGAGAAATGTGAAAAAAAAATATAGATTGGTCAGAAGATACAACATGTCCTCATACCTAAACAACAGAATTTAGGTCAAATGTGTTCATTCCAATGTGTATTGAGAAAAATATGCCTCTGATATACTAAATTAAACGTAACTTTAGCTATACAAAGGTTAATACGTTTAATTTAGTATATCAGAGACATATTTTTCTCAATAACATGTTAAAAAAACACAATCCACAATTAATGAACATAAAGATGAATGAATTATTAAAATGGTAGAACACACAGAAAATGGGCTCTGAATTTTTCCATTTTGGAAATAGTACCGTTTTGCTAAAAGCAACTCGCATAAACTGCATGGCCTTGGAGCAAAGCCACATCACACAAAGGAATAATTATTTATTAGTGGAAGAGAGGGTGAGCTGTGTGTGTGTTTACATGTGTGCGTGTGTGTGTGTATGTGTATCTATGTGTGCGCGCGTCAGTGCTTAAGAGATAGAGGTTTTGACCTTAACTCAAGCTTAACTCTATGTGGAACTACACAGGAATGCAGTAACTTGGAATATGCCTATAAATTCAAGACAGCTGCTGTGGATCTTTTAACATTATAATATTTGTCAGATCAGCAGTCGGGTTCCTCCTTTCCTTAAAAGCTTGAAACATTGACAAAGTGTTCAGCAGCGTTCTAAAAATATACGGCGCTACATTGCACTGTTGGAGTTACTGTAAAAGCCAATATAATAAAACTTAAAAAGCGATAACATCCTGGATAACTACAGTTTATGAAAAGACAAAAACATAATATTCTCAATGTTGAAATACTGAAAAATGTTCATCATGTTTATCAAGTCATATTTATTAATTCGCATTTAACTTTACTTTCACATAATTACTTGTACCTTTACCATTTATTACCACAATTATGATAAAAAATTATCCATCGGTGAAATACTTTTACAAAGTGCTTCATTCGTTTTATGATATCATGCACACATTTCGAGATGGAATTAAAAATCCACATCAAATTTGAGATAGAAGACCAGGGACAATGCTGTGAGGTGAAGAGTGTTAGCCAGTTGCTGTCTTCACCATCTGGAATATTAGTCCAGGATTCCAGTGAACGTCAGTGACCCCTAATTCAACTTAAAAAGAATTGGTGGGTTGGTGGGGGGAGCGACACTAGCAATGGGAAAACAAGAGAGAGAAGTCTAAAGTCAGTGTGAGAGTGATGAAATCAGCTGGTAAACTGCTGAGGTGGCGTTAACAGAGGCTACTGCTGTTGTCTTGTCAGTGATTATTGCACAATGTCACTGTAGTATATCTTTCGATGCCCTCTTAATTCTAGTTCCTTCATTAAGTTCAGTTGAAGGAGTACTTGCTGCAGCCCTACAGATACTGCAGTGTTTAGCGTATTGATTACAGTGTGATTGAATAGTGAACATTCAGGTCACTGGTCCAAAAACAGTAGTCTTGACCAGCAGGGACAGCAGCTAAATTATAGGTCATAGACAAGCCCTCATTCCTGTGAAGTGACACACGGGCCTGAAAATTGTCCAACCATAGTATTCTGTGGAGACCGATTTTGATATTGAAAGTAGTTGTTTTTTTCATTTTAAGAATTTTGTGTTCATCTAACAGTTGACCAGTCATTTTGAGAATATCCCATAACATAATTTAAGGGTTGGTTTATGCTTGAACAGATCTAGTTCATATGACCGGTTGTGAATGTTGAAAGTAACAGAAATTCTTGGACACTATTTCACCATTCGACAAGCATACTGGCAGCCTAACCCTTCTGGGACAACAATAAAACACCGTCTATTTTCCCAGTTCTTGCGAAACAAGGAAATATATGACAATCTTACAGTCCGAGCGTATCTCATGACATCCATTACAACCTTACAAAGGCCCCTAAACGCTAAACACAGACTCATCTGAGTGGTTTGTGGTCAGGGAGAAGACAAAGTGTCTCTCTGACTTAACTCTATTCTGGGAAATAAACCAGCGCAGAGGCAGACCTGTACCCCAGAGGAACACCCAGACATTCAGAGGAGGACCACGTAGCTGGCTTCAAAATAGTAGCAAAGACAATTAATTTCTCCCCAAACTATTTGAAAAACCTTCTGTGGTCCACCCACTACAAACAAACACAAACTAAAATAATGGACTGCATGTACAAGAGGTTGTAGCACAATTAAAAGTATCTTGCCAAAAAATCGGAGCGAAGAGTGAAAGTTCCTCTGAGCCAAGGCAAATGCTGGCCGTGCCTTCCCCAGTGGAGTCTTTAGTAGGGATTCATCAAAGGTGACGGGGGGCCGGGAGAAAACAGCCCTTTCAGTCCCTTTGACGGATGGCAGTCCCCGAATACACCCATTCTTCAGATCAATCTCTGGTTAACTCAGGGTTTAAAACAACATCACTGTGTAGAGGAAGGGAAATGGTCAATACTGCCTCTGACCCTTAACAAGCAAGACACAAGTCTCAAACTTTCTACAGCATGATGAGTAAGGGGGAATTTGAGAAGGGTTTGTTTCAGCCAGAGAGACGAATGACAAACTACAGCAGTATGTGACCTGGCAAGACCAAAAAATTCTTTTTCCATTTTAATAAACATCTGTTTTCATGCTACTGCATTTAAAGATAGACAGTTTATTAAGCCACTTTTTTTTTTAAATCAAGAGCACCGGTGATTTAAAATGACATGATTTATTTACATTTTTTAAATATTAGTAATCAGCATTAAAATGGCTGTGATATGATCATCAAAACAGTCTGCAGGAGAGGACTGCCAAAGGGTAGCAGGTGTTATTTTGATGTGCTGACAGTGGCATAAAAAAGGCCCAGTCCTTCACTTCTCTGTGTGGGCATGGAAACAAACTGATAACAAACCTAACAGCAGTGTGTTATAATGTTTCATCGTTTCCCCCGTTATCTGCCTGTGGCCTCTAGGAAATGGTTACTTTTGAAAACAAAACACGGGTAGAACAATATTCCTCTGTCCTCCATCACTAGTTTCCAGCTCTGTGAGATAACAAAATGTGCATCATCATTCATTGCTTTATACATTTAAGTATACATTTGGAAACATTTATATATTACCTGAAAGTAATTTCTCTTGAGGACAATGCCCAAACTCTGCTTGCACGTTGTTTTTCTTCCCTATGACCCACATGAAAAACAACAATCCTCAGTTTTTAATTCGCTCTCGTATCATCTCTGAGCGCTCTTCAAAGTGTTGCATATCAGAATGGAGATAACAAACAGAGAAGAAAGATCTGTGGGAGAGCAGGCATTTCCATGGCCCATGTGTCAGACATAACACTGGTCCAGTGATCTTTCACACACTCACTCTCTTCTTGTTGTTGATGATCACCTTTCCTCTCTATTGCCAAACCCACGATTCGCCCCCGGCTCTCGTATTCATATACATTCAACGCTAGATGTTCCTGGATCAAATGCAAGAGAAAACACTTTAAACTAAGGAACATAAACATTTAGATCAAAGTAAAGGATCACTGTGGTTGAATTATTCAAAAATCTTTAATATAGTCAACAAATCCCATGAAAAGACCAAACACAATGGTTTCCCTCCGAGAATATAAACAGATCATAAATATACTTTCTTTTGTTGTGGGACTGGCTCAAAATAACTGGCATAGAGGAATAAGTTACAGCAGGTAGTGGCTACACTGACATTACTTGTTGCTAGGATCGATTCGATGTTGGATTATGGTCTTTTAATGTTTTTTGTTGACAAATAGAAAAACATAGAAATGATTTTGAGAGAACACAATTGTAGGATGTTTTGTATTTTGTGTTTCCATCAATACTTTTGTCAGCTATTGTTTAAAGAGCAACTAAAATTTCTGTTTTTATACCTGGCCATGTATAAGTATTAATTAAATCTAAAGGCAACCTCTAAATAAACATAATAGTTTGATATAGTTTGCATAAAACTGCATAAATTACACCATTTAAATCAAGATCATCAATTATTCTGCTATACTGTACATCTCAGTCATGGATTTAGCTGTGAATTCAATGGTGAACGGTTATAATTTTGTTGTAGAGGGTGGTCACTGAAGAATGTACACAAATTTATTTCTATTTAATGAACTGTATGAAATGAATTGTTCTTTTGTATTATATTTTAAGCTTTGGCAATATGGTTGTTTGACATCCATGCCAATAAAGCTGAATTGAATTGAATGTATTCATTTTAACTAATGAAATCATCACAGGCCTATAATACAATGTCATCATCAAACTGAACAGCACAAACTGGAATAAAAAG